AGTTGTCCTGAAAAGGCTCGGTAACAGTGGCTGGCTTATGTTTCGACAATCTGAGTCAGTCGAGTATTAGAGAGTGCGAAAGAGTCCAGCTATCTCACTAACAGGGCGGATTTTGTTACTGTATGATAAGTAACAATGCACCCGATTTATTACAGTACTGGAATGAACTATAGTAGTTGCTTGAAAATGAAAGATTTCATTCAAGAAGGTTTTGGCGGATTATTGAAGAACGCCCTCCAAATATTGCTTTGATCACAGACATCTTCTTCAGCTTTGTTGCATCTTAGTAAATAGCTTTAACCTTGTGTGCATCTTCTAATGGATTAGTAATTTGACGCACCTCCCCAGCTTGTCAGGAAGTCTAGAATACCGTATCACTTTGCAACAAGTTACATTTATCACCCATTCATCGTGTCAACACGGTGATACCACGAGTAGGTGTTGATCCGTTCTTGAAAGAAAAGCCGGAAACAGAACCAGAAGTCTTTGGCAAACCACTGAAAATTTAACCATGCAGTCTTACAGAGTTGGTTTCATACCTCAACAATTGTTTCGGCTAGCCAACTTTGTTCTTCGTGTAACCCTCGAAAGTCCAGAAACAAAGTAAAAATTGCAGCATTTAGCTGATAAATTGGAATACAGTAATTTTGATTTGAGACATATGACTACTCTTTCTGTGATATAAACTTCTCGTAAAAATGAATTTGAAATGTGTACTTCTTCCCCAGTAAAATCGCAGGTAATCTTTGGAGGAAATTCAGTGATAAAACACATAGTATCTCCGTTCGTCGTAATTCAATTGACTAGTATGCTTCTGAACGGTCTTTGAGGAAACGACAGTGATGCCCTTCAGTTATTTAGTTTCTTTCCTGTATTACTCCTCACTAAGTTTACCAAGAAAAACTATCTTACGATGAAAATATTTGCGGTAGCCAGTAGTTTTTCAGAAGAGATCTTCAGAGGGAGACTGGGGACCCAGTTTAGTCTTGCTAGAGAAACCAAATTATTCTATGTCAATATTTTTTCTATAAGAAAGATTCAAACTGAGAACTGCTTGTTTGCAAACTCTCATATAAAGAAGGCATAAAATAATACTTTCGAGCTGAGTGGTTAATATATGTCAGTCATGGATACTTGTCGGGGTATTTTGTCTAGTTTTTTCTTCATCCAGCACTGAAAGTCAAACTGGAGAACTTTGCAAAGAGAGTGACAGTTGTGCTTTCGCGATGTTTCTTTTCTTTCTTTTTTTTTTTTTTTTTTTTTACGCGAAGAACAAAACATCTGGTGCAGACGTTCATTAGACTCTTGAGATAATTCCGCTTGCTCTTTGCTTGTGCACGTGTCACGGTAGCCACAACAATTTTGACGGCATTGTTATAAAACGCTTTGATGAAGATATTGTCTTTGTTTGCGATAATTACTTACTGCTAAGAGCTGTGCGAACGCCTCTTGACTTGCCTTCTCGAATTATCTCTTTGTAATGCTAAACTGTAGACTGTTAATTAAATTCGCGAGGAGTTTTGGTCCTGTTTCCATTGCATGGCAATTAGGTTTAGCTTCCACTGGGACATATTTGTTGTAGGTAAAGTTTGTTTTGGTGAAGCTTAGCTCCAAGTGTGAGGAATACTTAGAATCCGTACGAAAAGAAAAGAAAACATGCCTTGTTAAAGAGTTACAATTTTCTCTGTGGAGCTAATTGTTGTTACTATTATCATTTCTTTCTTCTCTGAATGTTTGATGCCATTTATGTTAAGCACTCCTCAACCTCAGAAAAAATATACTAGTACTCTTAACAATTCCTATGTCGAGAACTCTAAAAGTATATTTTACGAGGAAATCAATTCAAAAAGCGGTCGTGAAACAAGTATTAAGAGCATTCAGCTAACACAGAACGAATTAATGAGACAATTTCCATCCTTTTGTCGAGTTCTGGGACTGAGAAAAAGTAGAGTACTACTATATTCCTGAAAGTTCCGCCTTGAAATCAGTTGCATTTTTTTTGGTGTTCATGATTTCGACTTCCGCTAACAATCGGTCGCTAGAATAATGAAAATAAAAGTGTTACGAAATCCACATATATTTTTTTTTATGAAACTGTCTCTCATCAAACGCCTGATTAAGAAAGATTTTAAAAATAAATTAGAGAAGGCATGAACTAAAGCTCAAGGCAAAACGTCAAACATTCTCTAAAGATACGCTTTCATTTCGTACTGTTCTCAACCTTAAGTTTGGAGGTATCACAATCAATTTGAATTTCTTTTTAACTTTTTGTGATGTTTGTATTATCGAGATGATATGTACCTGCATAAAAATTACTGTTTTAGGAACCTGTTTGCAATAACCCTAACAACCATAAGGCGCCAATATCAATATCTCTTGAAATTTGCATAAACATACAATGTTGAGTTCTATACCAAAACTCTTTATGGGCAAGTATACAGTTAGTGATAACATCTCGTGCTTGTGATAGCGGTTCATGTAAAAATAGCTACCCTCATTACTTCCCTTGTAGTGTACCTTGTTTTAAAAATTGCATGATTTATATGGAAACATTGTCATTCAAAAGGCGCAAAGTAGCGAACAAAATCTTTTTCTGTACTCACGCTGTTAGCTCCGACTGTATTGTTATCGTATCAGAGAGCTTCTTTTTTTTTTTTCGAACAAGTAAACTATCGATTCAATTAACAACTACCCTTTTTTTCTCCTCTACTGATATTTCGTTTCTGTTTACTCGAAAAATTCTCGGAAAAATCCTTTCTGAATTGACCTCAACATGATAAACCCTGATAACGCGATAATGGAAGTGCTTAATGTTGCGGTTAGTCGAGATTCTTATCTAACAGTCTGAAGGAGTCGAACTTCAACCTTTTTCCACTGTTCGGCTTTAGTCATACCCCCAACCCAACTGTGTTGTCAATTCAACGATCACGAAAGCTTTAGACGCTCCCGTGATCATTTCGTTAGACGAATTTTGTTCCTCTGCGTCCGTTCTGTGGTTGCATTCACAATGTTTACATGTGCTGTTGTGCGTGGCCCCACCTTCGCAGCGGCTGACACAGTGCTGTCGCAGTTAATCTTAAATCAAGCATGGCTTCTCAGGAGGAGCACAGCGGGACGTCGAAGCGTTTGAAAAGGCTTTGCACAAAAGCGATTTCGACCGCTTCCAGGGTTGTGATTAGCTATTGTTCCCCCCTGGTGGGGAGTAGAGCGATTAAATATTACGTCTAAAATCAAGCGTGGGATTCTTGGTCCACCCGGACGGAACGTCGAGACCAGACAACCAGAAAGCCTGTGTATTTATCGTATGAAGCAACTGACTTTTTAACCTCTCTTTACGACTGTCGCACTGACTTAAATGTGATCAAAAATGTTTATGAAAATAACCTCACATTTTCAATGTAATTATGTTTCCGTTGGCTTTGACAAAAAGTTTTTGTTCGGTGTCCACCAAAACTTACAGATCGACCATGGTGAGTGAGGTCACATTAAAAAAAGATATGAAAATTCTCCATTTTTTTCTTTACTCTCACTCTATATTTTTCCTTATTCATGGCTAAGTATAGAAAATTCTGACATCTTTTGGGTTAGATACCAAATAAAAATCTAAGTTTTTGTAACCTCGTGAATGTTTTTTTTAAATTTGTGTGTTCGTTTGTCGCCCAAGGGAGACAAGCTGAGGAAAATTGATGGATAAAAATCCACAAAATATTTAAATTTGATTCCACCCCTGAAACTCCTTGGTAGTGTTATTCTCTTTGCGAAACATCTGTTGTTATGTTGTGTTGTGCGATGTCCTATGCTAGCCGACAGATATGTCTCCCCCTCTATGCATCGAATCATCTGTTCCGGTAAAATTGTGAGGTTTGTGTCGACTGCTTTCATAGCAGAAAAGTGCACGAATAGTCAGAATACAGCGTGAAATTTTCCGTTATTCCAAATCCTATGGATGCCACATCTTCTGTGGACTGAAAGTCCTCTCTTAGTTTGTGTAATTACTAACCTCTAAAGAGAATCATTTGTGCAAGTTTTATGGACGATTACGTGTTTGGTATAATTGCGTTTTGAGATTGTTAACAACTTTGTTGACTAACTTAACATAAGGTTCCGGAGTTCGATTGTCCCGCAGTTACATGAAGACTTCGTCGAGTAATGTGTTTCTAAATCTATCGCAAGGATTCAGGAAGGGCACCATCCCGTTTGAATTCCTCCGAAAAGCTTGCGTGGCTGATAACAATTACAAAGTTTTATATGTTCAATCGCACTCAAGACTTAATTTTTTTTCAGATTTTAAAAGATTACCGGTTGTGTTTCTGGTGACGCTGTTATTATGCTCTTTAACTTGCCGCTAGCTTTTTACTATATTTTGTGTGGGCCTGTGTAATAACTCACTTTGCTGATGTGATGTACATCACAGCTTCGATTAAAATCCTCAGATGTTTTTGTACTAATAGATCAGTTTTATTTTTTCCTCATTTTCTGACAAAGCTTGACTGTCTGGGAACCGTAGAAATCTTTTGAACTTCGAGGGGGCAGACAACTCGCTGGGGTACTTTTTAAACTCAAAAACTGCAAACAGCAGAAATAAAATCTCCCAGCTGTTTCCTCCCCCTCATATTTCCGAAGGGAATCCTTATTTCAGCACTTAGTGGAAGAAAAACTTTTAACCTTCGATTCTTCATTCTTGGGGCGAATGTAAAATTAAGTTGTCGTTTCACTCCCTGTGAAAACCAGCGTCCAACACTCTTTACAGTCTTATCTTACTTTGAAAACACACTGTGTTTGGCCATGATAAAAGGTGCCATATTTGCTAGCTCAATGATACAGATTGGCTATGGTGAGGTTAAAATTTACGAGGGCCTCACTGAAACGTACAGATACCTTTGTTGCTCTATAAAATGCTTCGGTAATTGTTGTTCTTGAAGAACTGCACTGATTCACTGCGTTCGAAGACTTATATTAGTCCTTGATTGATATAAGGATATTCTTGGTTAAATTATAATGGCAGTATAAGTTTGAAATTGCGCTTCATGGTAAGTGAATCTTTTACTCAGCCCCTCGATTTGAAAGATATGTCGAAAAGAAATTTTGAAAAGAAATTTCACGAAAAATATTGAAGCGAGTGGAGAAGGCCAAGGTGGCCATGTTTAATTAATCAAGGCTCAGCTTTACACTCATTGCCGTCTCCTAACAATCATACGCTTTTAGTGAAAGAAAGATAAGAAATCTTGTTAACACGGAAGGAAAATCAAAATTTTCAATGGCTATTTTGGCGTTAAGCGGAATTTTATTTTCACCAGTTAAGAAAATAAATTAATAGGTTTTGTTTTTCCAAAATGGAAATCATCACACGATACAAACCGTCCTTAAGACTAAGCGCCGTTTGTTTCGTTATGCAAGGACTAAGGAGAGGATAGCTTTCCTATCTCTTACATAGACCATGCTTACGACGAAATAACAAATTCTTGAACACCATATCCTTCAAGAGCAGTTATGTGTTCCAAAACTTTTTTTGACGCCTCATTTTTCGTGACTCGACTTGAAAAGTTTACTGTTAGCGGTAACCGGTGCGAACAGCATGGCTTCCAAATGTTTGTAATTGCTACGTTCTGCCTCACGAAACGTGACTTTTTCGGAAAAATCGAATTCTTCGGCTAATCTTTCCGTTCGAGGACTGTAACATTTTTTGAGAGAAAAATCTTTCCCTTTCTCTGTTACTTTTGATCGGAAACCGCGCACTCTTGCGAAGTAATGAAGGTCTTACATGTAGTATTCAACATTTGTTTTGTCTTTTGCATCCAACTGGTTCACAGATTTAGTTGTGTTTGCTACAAAGTAGGTTTCAGATATTGCATGGTATTCTCCTATAAGCAATTTCTGTACATCTTTTCAAGATTTACACGACTACCTGGTTAAGGTAACTGGAAACAATTATTTACATATATGAGAGGAAATCTGTACATGCAATAGTATTCGATAAGAGAAAGCACTTCATAAGTACTTCCCTTTTATCGTCTTATTTGCAAATTAAAAAGTGCTGCTTTAATTTAGAACTGTGTAAATCGTTCATAACTTTCTAAACGAATGAAATTTCTGCATAAGGAGTTTTCTTACATTACATTACGAAGCTAAGATTGTTGCCTAGAACGCTTTTAAAAATTCGTTGCGAAAATTTTTACCTAACATTTGTACTCCTGTAAAACTTCGACTATTTTAAGGTTGTCTACAGATGTCCAGTGCTTCAACTCATTTGCAAAATCTGCAGTTAGCAAGAGTACCATTCTGAATTGTTCTCTGCATTTGATCGCGGCCTCGGCGACGGAGACCTAGCCGCAGGCTTTATTGGACTATCCTTGTCTGAACTTATACTGTCCCGCTGTCCGTTCGTTTGTGAAATAGGCGGCGACAAAGGCCTTAGTCCACCAGTTTCATGAAGTTTCATGTGTTTTCGAAGTGAGCTGGGGTGCGTATAGCTTTTGTTGCACCCTTCGATTTTACAAATGTACGGTTTATCTGAAGTGTGAACGTGCGAATGCTTTTTTCTGTCGCTTGAGTTGGCGAAGCGGCGATCGCACCCAGGGAACTCGCACTCGAATGGTTTTTCTCCCGTGTGAGTTCGTTTGTGAATTTTTAAGTTCTCTGACCTAGCGAACAGTTTTCCGCATCCGGGAAAAGGACATGGGAAGGGTTTTTCCCCAGTGTGGACTCGAATGTGGTTTACCAACTTGTATTTTGCCTTGAATGGCTGTCCACTTCTCCCGCACTCTTGCCAGTAGCAGACGTGCAAGTTGGAGTCGTTGATGCTTACATGTTCGTCTGAGATGTGCGATACTAAATCAGGCATCATGGTGAACTGCTTGCCGCAAGGTTTCCGTTTCCCTTGCACTGGGTTCTGGTCTATCCAAAGGCAAGTTAGAATTTGATTTGTGGGTTGTTTCATCAAGGGAAGATGATACATTCCCGGTCCAGTCGGCCCTCCATATCCTGGTGGACCATGATCCAAGAAAGGACTACCGAGGCCACCTTGTGCAAATCGATCGGCTCGAGAGTAAAAGTCTCCTCGATATCTGAGCTGATTGTTGAGTACAGGAGGCATTCCATGGTGTGGAGAGGTTGCCTCGTGTCCTGATGTAAGTGCTCCGTAGTGTATATGTGGATTGCTCGTGACATCTAAGCCTTTATGCGTCACTGCGTGATGGTAGTTTATGTTGTTTCCGTGAATTGCAGCGGTTGGTGGCGAACTGAACATGTTGTGCCTATGTGAGTAATTGGGTGTGTTGGAAGCGATGGGGTCGTGAAGAGCAAGCGAGTGAGAACTCGCTAGGTTGGCTGATCCTAAGTGTGAGTCCTGGTGATGGATAAACTCAGGTGGGAATCCTTGAGAAGAAACATGACGGTACGCTGGAAACGAGTGATACAGAGTCTGCTGCGAAGACATCCCGGGCGGTTTTTGATCGAATGCGACAGCTTCTGCTTGTGCTCTGTGTGCCGCAGCAAATCTGATCGACGAAAGATGGCTCCCTGAGTCCAGCAAGTGATTCATTCCTAACGGCGGCTCCTTCTTGTGTTCGTTAAAGCCCGCGGTCGAGGTGGTTGGCAAGTTGTTCGCAGACGAAGACCGAAGAGCTGCACCCTCGAACGGTAATGAGTAGCGTTTGGCGAAGCCACCGTCCATTTCAAGGTTTCCCCGGGTTTTGAATATGGAACAGCTCTAGGCAAGTGTAAATAATAACGCGGCAAACTATTATTAAAGAGAGGCTACGCGAAAGTTTTGAGTGTAGTAGCATATGTTACACCGTTAAAACACAGCGTGAGACTCTGATGACAATTGTCCTGCTAAGAAAGCACGCATGAGCAGTAAAATGATCCCGGTGAATATTATGATTAGTCGTCTCCCGCGGAGCTGTGGTTATGTTCCTAATTGTTTGATAGCTTCTGAAAACAACACTATATTTGGCATTCCTTTTCTTATTGACTAACACAGGGTACAAACCATTTCATCAGCTTTAAGTGTCCGATCACACGCAAGATAACAGTACTTCCTCGAAGGAGTATCGCGTGCTTTCCCTGGGAATTTCACGTCTGTTCCCTCTCTTTTCTTCGTAGAGCATGACAAATACATGTTGTCGTTCAGTAACAGCTACCTCGCAGGTGAGGCTGCCGTGATAGACATATAGGGAGGGACACAATTTGAAAAGCCCAGCAGGAAAGAATAAACACCTTGAAGCGGTGTCACTCAACGTAGCTATTGCTGAGCTTCTTGTTGAAAGTTCCCCTTGAAATTTTCAAAGGGCGCCCCCAACTTCAAAATGTTTCTTTACATAACGGGATTTGTAGTGGATTAGAAGATTCACGCGCTGAACGTTTTTGCCCTCAATCTACAATGTTTGCCGCGATAAATTTATTAACACCGCGAGAGACACAATACTATTGACAAAAATCGCCGGGAGTCGCCACAGTTTGGCTTTACTTTGCAAGCGACATGCGATTCTCGCCAATTCATCATTCAATTGTCCGCAGAGTTCTCAAGCGGGCCGTGCGGGGAAGGCTAATCATATACCATAGCTCACGATACATATATTTTGCTTTTAAACGGCGGATGCTTGCAGTCACTATAAAAAAGTCATTTATAAAAATGTCAGATGTTATCTTTAAGGACTGATTTCTGAGAATAATGCGTCAATAGACATGTTAAGTGCTACCGATCGTCCACTATTAAACAGGGCTTAGGCTCAAAAAAGGGTGAAAACTTGAATTTCATTTAGATGAGTTTAATTAAGGGCCGCACTAAAGTGACTACCACTGCTAAGCATAATTCATGCACGGTAAGCCATTGTTTTTTCCAGTTTGAACCGTGGTGAAGCATGAGTGTTTATAGAACTCATGAAGGACATGAAATAGTTTGTATAAATAGGTTCACCGCGCGGGGCGCACCCCTTTCGTGGCTTCATTAATTGAATGTATTCACTCTCACTGTCTGACTAATTTCCGCGGTTTTCAAGTATAGCAGCGAACGAAGCCAAGCTGCAGATTAGTTTTAAACGAAAAAAAGACAATTTCTCCTATTCCCCGCCATGAAGGAGGTAATTATTACTGCGCCTTATTGAATTTTAAGTGGCAATTTAAAATTTGACAGGAGCTGAGTCAATAAGTATGCACCACAGTCAGAATTGGTCCAAAAAGTTCCATTATGAGAAATGTAATATATTTTTGAGCTCTGCTGCCGCGTAAAAGAAATTGGTTTTGAACAAAAAAAAATAAAAATAAATAGGGACAGCTTTAATCCTCGAGGCTATTTTTCTGCGACATAATGTGATGTTGTAATATACCAGGTCATTTTCTTAGTAAACAAACTTCAAACCGGTAACCTTGCTCCATCAAAAGATATTTCATTCCCCCCTCAATCATTAACTGTGGTGATATCAATCATATTGAGTAAAAGAACAACACGGCTGCTCGGTCGTATATTCGTGTGAAATATTTCCCTCATCGCAAGTCCGGTTTTATTAGATTAGTTATCTCCTGGCTGATATTCTTGAGAATTGCGGCCTATTTAGGTTTTCCTTTTTTGAATAGAGGCAGTTAATATCTTTTGCATGTTTTACATCCAGTTTATTTCTCAGGTAAACGGATGTATCCACCTGCTTGTGTTTACATCTCCAATATCACTCAGCTGTCCCAATTATTTTACCTAACCTTCATGAAATAAATCAAACCGATGATTGTGCTCCTTGCCTCGAAAATTCGATTGGTCCAGCGACTTCGAAAGTGTCGTGACGTTTGCGGGGAAAAAGTCTGAGTGCCACCGTCTCTGACTGAAATTAACTTCAAGGAAGCCGGAGCTATCGGTTGAATTTTTAACTTGTAATTTATTTTTATATTCATATTTCCTATGTATCCGGTCTGATCGTCCGGCGCTTCAGAAGTTAAAATTCTTTTTTAATAAACTGCACCGTGGTGGAGTTTGTTTTAATCACACCATACACACCATGAATCAAGAAATTGAAAACGGGAGCATGGTGATCTAGGGAGAAGAGAAAATGCTCAAAATTAACCACAACAATTCTTCACTTGAATATTCCTTAAGCAAGGTAAAATGTTAGGACGAAAGGAAATATAAAGAAGACAGCCATGAACTACGTTTTATTTACGCTGAGATCATGACACCCGTATAACGCCATAGACATTTTAATGTTTTTTTTTCAATCTTTTGAGAAAGCTGCCCTTAAACGTTGAGCTTATTTACACCATCTAGAGCGCCTTATTTCGATATATTTGCATATAAGTACTCGCCTACAGCTAAAAAACCTTATTACCAAACGTCGCCCTTGGAGAAATCGGCCCAACATAGCAATTATAAAAAGTTCTTGTGAAATCACTTTGTCTTCCATATTTAATTTTCTTTGACCGTCAAAATCATTCCCTGAAATGAGATTAAGACAAACATAGGCTTTTCTCTGTTTTTCATACTACCTTCCCTGTTGAGTGTTATCAGAAAATGTAAAAATCGTCGAAATGTATTCCGATTTGTGTCATGCTCCCTATTCTAGAAATGACAAATATTTTGCTGTTTAATTGTAGTTTTGGGAATTCCCATGAAAGGAAACAAAGGGCTCTCTCTTTTTATTCACACCTTTGTGAATTAACTTTTATTGTACGATGAAGTGCATTGTTAAAAATTTACATTTGAACTCATGAAACAAGAAATTGTAGTTCAGTTTGTGAAAGGAATTGAACGAATACCTGTGAAAGCTCTGTTTTACACTGTTATAAGAGAAATGTCACGAGTTAATATTGATTCACTACTGCAAAATTATTACATACATTTACTTTCCTTTGAAAGAAATCTCTTAGGGCTTTACGAGCGATTCTTGTAAAACTAGTAAACTATATTCCGGTAGTTTACCCTTTATATACGATTTAGGTATTTAGGCTGTATTTGTTTCGAGGAATTGCATCATAACGGCAAGTAGAAACACCCTTGCTAGCTTAAGATTTAAAAGATTTATCATATTTTTTTAATCAACTGTTTCTGAATCGTTTTGAAAATAAATAAAACCTCACTGAACATAGGCGTGCTGAGATTGTGCTAAAATGGCTCCCACTTTGAAATATAATGCCAGATTTTTCGTTTAAACTAAGCTTAAAATTAACTTTGTCTCCTTTTTGTCGTTTTTCTACGTCGTTACGAGTCGCCTCCACTGTGCATTCAAGCTGCCTTAGTAACTTTGCGGTCGACTAGGAAGGGAAGATTTTGCCTGTTAAGCCTCTTTTTAACAAGCATATTTGTGGGGCACGCGACATGTTGTAACGGATTCCCTTTGTCAACATCTTTGTCCAACTGTGGACAACTGTGGCCTCATGCAAAGATCAAGTCGAGGTCCCGTGTTCTATAAGAATAATTGTGTCTTTATAGTTGTGATTCAATCTTTGCTACCTTGGTTTATTTACAATATAACTCACATGGAGTGATATTCGAAGCACGGCTGACGAAATTTTAGAAGATCGATAAATTTTTCCACCAGCTATGCAAACCTCGTTGTACATTGGGTTTTAAAGATTTTATGATAAATATGTCAGAAATCCTGTTTTTGATATTTTTCGCTGCTGGAGTTTCTTGGAGATCAGTTTTCTAGGGCAGATGAGTGAATTCTTAGCAAGGTTTTAGCTGCTGAAAGAATGTTTAGAATTAAACTTAACATCGAAATCCAGGAAATTTCAGTAGCATTATTACCAAATTCCTCTCATGGACTCTCAACAAGACTTAAGATTTTTACAAGTGTGTTCATTTTTTTTTTTAACTTGTTATGGTTACGGGATAGAATGCCGCTTTTATTGTGTTCAAAACAAAATAATTGGTACGCCAACCTTCTTTCATCCTAGTATAATTAACTTTTTGGCTTTCAGAGAAAATTCCCATTTCGGGAAGCCTCGGAAAAGCGCATGGAAGCGGGTTTTGTTTATCATGTGAAGAGTAGATAGCAGGAAACGTAAAATGATTAAGAAATGATAGCTCAGCCGCAAGCTGCCACAAGCTAGAATTTTCATGAAACCACCGGAAACTGGTAATAAATTACTTCCGAAAATTTCCTTTTGCCTCTATCTTGTTTACGTCGAAGCATTGTGTGATGATGCCATTAATGAAAGTTAAAAATAGAGTCGGAGATAATTTGGATACAACGAATTGACAAATTGGCTCGTAGTTTCAACGTTTTGCATGAGTTGTTCCTTTGTGGCGACTCAGAGGCACCTGTGCTTCAAATGGCCAGGCGCCGCTCTATCTGTCATACTCACTGAACAGTTCATTTGCCCAGAGGCTACTTCTTAACAAGTGCAAGCTATTGGCTGTCAAATAGGAAACTTTCAGTCCAATTTTGCATCTACAAAGACTTTCTTAACACTGCACTAAGTAATTAAGCTTCTATACAGAGCACATTTTTCAAGAAACCGGCTGATTGCCAAGCCACAATCGCGTTTAAGAATAGTTTAATAGCAACTAAAACTGACGCAAATTTGAGTTTATAGACAAAAAACAGACGTAATTGTCATCGAGCACAAATAATTCTTCATCGATGCTGGAGCAAATTTACAGCAAAAACAATTATTATGAACACTTTGCGTATTCATTACCCCTTTGATCGATGAAAGTTTATTAAACGAGAGCTGCTCATCTTTTTCAATGAAACTAGAAAGCAGAATTATTCCATTTGAAGACTTCTTCCCATTGTCTGCTTTTGAAGGCTTCACAAAAAAAATTGATGTAAATTTATTAATGAAGACC